TCCAGGAATAAGTGGCAGTCCTTCGGACCTACCCGTTCCACATGATCTCTTTTAAGGCTCACTCTTATTGTTCTTTAACCGTGGTCTCCTCATGCATTAATTTAAGGTTGCTTCGTTTTTTTCTACCTGTATTTTTGGGCTACAAAAAAAGAAGCACGTTTGAAGGGAGTGAGGTTTGTTTTATTAAGTTATTTACTCACTTTTTTATTTATTTTTCTTAGCTTTTTAATAATAAACTAAATACTTTACTGAATACAATACAAAATAAGAAGAGTTTAAGATTTATATTCCTATTAGTCCTTTTGTTTTTTCATTCTCTTAAATATTTTTAAAATCATTATAAGTAATAGCTTATTTTTAGCTTCATTTGAATATAAAAATACTTAATATATTCCTCATAAATAATAAATTCCCCTAATTCATTTATATTGTCGCTTGGAAATCATAATTCCTTCCCAGACAAGGTCTCAGATAGTTTGGAGCCAAGGCACCATCACATCCTGTCTGAAGAGTCTTCAGCCCACGCGTTGTGCATAATAAATTCACAAGTTTACAAAACACAAAGGCCCAAGGAATGGTAAATAATTTTAAAAACAGATTTTCTACTCATTCTGCTGCTGGTTTCTCTTCAATGTTTATTGAATATTTGATTTTGGAGCCTCGCGGCGTTTGGCGACACAGAAGCCAATGATAAAGATGATTATGTTGATTTCTTTAGACCCTATAGGATATACTCTTCCCTTCACTACCCTTCCTCTTTCCCTAAGTCTACTACGGACATGTCCCGAAGTACCGCTACTAAAGACGCATACAAATGACCTTTGGGTAGTTATATTTCCCTCAGGTGAAAAGCCGACTAGACGAGCGTCTCGTGAAGTTTTTTTAGTAATTTCCTGGACTGAAAATACACGGAAAATCCGGCTTAATTATGTTTATCCTGTGTATATTGCCTGCTCCTTGAGTCCTTGAGTCTGTATAATTTTGTCTTAAATTTGGAGTGTTTTATGCATATTAATTGGAAAAGGAAGAATAGATTAGGAAATGGAAACGTCCTAGGGAAATTATTTATTATTAAAAGGAAGAGTTACTGTTACTGTTACTGTTTTTTAAGCCTCACTTAAACAAATATTTTCAGTTTTTAAAGCTTTAAATTAAAGCATTTCCCATTAGTATTTCATATTAAAATAGTACCTTCATTTTTAAGCTCCTAAATATATTTTAAACACAGTTTTTTGAGATTTATCTATAAATTCGTCATTCAAATCCCAAGTTGAATGTCCTCTTTTAATCCTCTTGGCTTAAGCCTTCTTCTCTTAATTTCTTGGTAATTTGAATATTGGCTATATGGAATTACTACTTCGAAATCGATCCGATTTTAGTTTTTTGATCTCTTGATCCTCTGATTGAACATCAAATAAACCAAAAATAAACACAAAAGAAACCCAGAATGAAAACAAAAACATCAGAAGCCGATAAAGATTAAGAAGAAGGAGTGGAAGCTGAAAGAAAACAGGAATTTGACACCAAAGAATCAGAATAAGAAGAATCTGAAAAAGTGAAGAAACCAAAACAAGGGCTGAAGGCTGTATTTTTAAGGGATTACTTGAATAACCAAAAAAAAGGGTATACAATTAAGAAGATTTTAATAAGAAATTAGAAAATAAAAGAAAGTAAGTTGAAATTTATCGAAAAGAATTTCAAAATAAAAAAAAAATAGGAGGGCTAACTTAATCTACAGAGAGTTTCATTTCTACAAGAAAATATAAAAACCTTGGCAAACTTATCTTAGAATTTAAAATCAAATGTGTGGGTGTGGTCACAAAGACAAAAATAAATTACAAAAAAGGTTTAACAAAAAAAGCAAACACAAGAAAAGGTTTAAAGCAGAAAAGTTTCATAGCCACGAGCTTTTCGCATCAAAAAGAACATGTTTCCAAGCAAACAGGTTTTGTTGCTGAAGAGGGGGGGGGGGGGAAAAGAGGAGTAAAAATAAGAAAGAGCCAGCAAAAGAAGGTGTAGAAGAAGGAGTGTAGAAGAAACGGCAGCTAAGCAAACAGGCGACAAAAACCGCAAGAAGAATCAGAGAGCGCAAGAATTGGAGACTTGAACTTAAAGAGTTTGAAAACCTGAAATTCTCTCCCTCTCCCACTCCATTTCCACCTCACCTTCTCCCTTCCCCACCCTCTCTCTCTCTCTCATAAAAAAACTGGTTAAAAGTAGATCGTTAACAGCAAAACTTAAAGAAGGGGCAAGAGCGGGACAGCAAAACTTAACGAAGTTTCTTCAACTTCAAACTTGTTGCATGTCAACTACAGCTCTGTCTCTATCGCACTCTCTCTCAAGCATTGCACTGCTTGATCGGCCAAAAGCTGTTGTTGACTTGTTGCTGGACTTATTTGTTTGTATTTTTTGTCTTGCTTGCTTGCTGTCGCCGCTGACTGGTTTTTCTTGTTGGCCGCAAAGACATAGAAAACAAGTTTCAAGCCAAAGTCGCTGGCAAAACGCCAGCGATGTTCGAAAACCGCCCGCAAATCGCGCGAAAAAACGCAACATGTTGCTGATTGCCGCTCACCACTCAGAGCGCTCTCTTCGAACTGCCGCTCTCTTGAGCTCTGTTAACGCTATGCTATTACTCTGTTCACTACTCTTACTCTCTCGTGGATTTACATTCGAGTTTCGAACTACGAATTTCGAACTCATCTCGTACTCATTTCGGGGTATCGTTCCTCGCCATTCGTTTTCGCCCCTCATTCGTTTTTCGAATCAACGCAACGCAACAACGCCTCCGTGAAGAAAAGTGTTCGCTTGATTTTTTCCGCCGGGTTTTTCGCAGGTTTTTCGTGTGTGTGAGCGAGCAATAATAACACAAAAGTCGCATTGTTTGCCAACAACAACGACCAGTGCAAATACTAAGCTTAAGGTATGCATTAAAAGGAGTTTAAAGAGTGTGCAAACAGTGTGTGTGTGTCTGTGGTGTCTGCAAACTGGATATTAAACATAAAACCAACAGTCAGAAAAGTCCAAGAAATTAACAAAATAAAAGCAAGTAAAGTGCAAGAAAAAACAGAATAAATACAAGAAGAAAACCATGAAAATATCTTGTGTTAAATTCACTAAAACAAATAACAGTTAAAACTCTGTGAAGTAGAAGAAGAGGAAGAAGCAGTAGGTGCAAGGGAGAGGCAAAGCAGTGGCAGCATCTCAGCCAGCAGCAACAGCGGCAGCGACCGAGGCAGCTGCGTCACCGCTTCATTAGTTCCCTCTCCCCTCGCTCCCCGTTATCTTCAATCCTCGATCGCAGCGTCTCTGGCGATCTCCCCCCTCCCTCGCCAACGAACACACCTTTACCTGAGAAACAGGTTTGCCTGTGTGCGTGTGTGTGTGTGTGTGTGTGTGCTTGTGTTGCGGCGCGGTGGTTTGTGTTTCTTGGAAGCCTTTCAAGCGCTTTTCTTACCTGTTACAACCAAAAAAGAAAAACAACAACAACAAAACGAAATGAAGAAAGATAAAAGAAACATGTTGCAACTCTAAGCAACAACAAAAATAACAAGAGAGAGAACGATGTGTGAGTGCATGTGTGAATGTGTGTAAAGCAGAGATGCAATTATAACTGTGAAACAGGAGAGATCAATGAAAACAGAGATCAAGAAAGAGTCGAAAACAAGGAATTGTGAAGAAACAAAAAAGAGGAATAAGTGAACGATAAAGTAAAAGATGGAACAAAATAACGAAAATAATATTTAAAGCTTTAATAAAATGATAAACATGCTAAGTAAACTTAAACAAGAAAATAAAAAGGCTACACTTGAAGAAATATGTAGTGTAAACAGTGCTAGTAAAATATAAAAATGCAAGAAAGCTTAAAAAACTGTGAATAAGATAAGAAACAAACCAAGAAAGCTAAGAAAACAATACATAAAAGGCATAAATATATTTCAATTTAAAACACAATTTAAAATAATAAATAAATTCCCCCAACCAATTAAATAATCTCAATACCTCTTCCCCCTTTTCAGTTATTCTCCTTCATTTTGTTCGGATATGCTCGTAATATAAAAAAAAACAACTTTAAATCAAATATCGTGTGCTTAAAATAATAATAATAATTGATGTGGTGTTAAAAACAAAAACAATTCACGCAATGGAGCGTTGCAACAGCAACAGCAACAACAACAACAGCAGCAGCGAACGCAGCTAGAAAAGGAGACGCGAAGGAGAGCCGCTGCAGCCGTCATTTACCGTTATCGAAGCCGAAGTTCAAGGAGGGCGGAACTGGAGTAAAAATAGCAAAAGTTCTCTTCGTTTCGTTCTTTTTTTTTGTTGCTCAAGACAAAACGTCAACTGCAGTTTTAGCAAGAAAACGGGAAAAGCGGCGATAATAACCAAACTTTAGCTACAACAACTAAAGAAAACAAAAAAACATAGAATAGCTAACTAAAAGCTAGCAGAAGCCACAATAATAACAACAACGACAACGCCAGCAAAAGTGACAAAATGAGGCGAAAAACGGACAGCAGAAGGAGTAGTGCGAGGAGATCAGCAACAGCGCTAAACATTTGGCACTTTTTTCTTATCGGTAAGTGTTTTCCTTTACTTTGTTTTGTTTTTTGGGTTTCTCTTTAAATGCAGATAAAGAAAGGTCTCAAATAAATGTAAACAATATGATCAGAAATTTTGAGGAATATAATGAGTTGTAAAATGTATAAAGTAAATTGAAAATATTTTTATACCCTTTCAAAGTAATATAATTTTAGTTAAAAGCCATAAATCATATATATTCTTGATCAGCATTAACAGGCGAATCAATCTAGCCATCTTAAGAAGAAAAATAAATTTGAAAAAATTTTCCAAATTTTTAAGGTGTTAAAAATGTTTAAATTTGTGTTAAAATTTAAATTTTTTTAATTTTTAAAATTTTCAATTTAGTACGCAGATTTATTAAACCAAGAAAAAGTATTATAGAACAGTTGTCCGAATTAAAATCAAGGCTTTTTTGGCTTAGTTATGAGAGTTTTTTAACCTTTATTTGCCTCTTAATAAAACAGGCTTATCTTTTACCTTAAAACACCTTAATTTCCACCTTTACTTTCCTTGACATTTTCTAGTCCTCTTAATTTTCCAGTTTACATTTTCGGCACACGCATAGCTAGCTTTTGGTGACGACACAAATCAATTAAAAGTTTCAGTTCCTTTCCCTGCTTATGACAGGGGGAAGTCTTATATATTTTTTTTCCGAACTTTCCCACCCAATTTTCCCCTCGTAGAACGATGATCATGGGATGCTTTTGGCCCTGTCGCTTTGGCTGTTGTCACCTTGCAACGTCACTTTAGTTTTTTGTTGAACTTTCTTCCTGTTGTTGGGCTGCCTTGACGTCAGCATAAAGTTTTTTATCTTGCTGCTCAAGCCTCTACTTTTCCCCCTTTTTTTCCACCTTTTTACCAAGCCTTGATTTCCCAGCACCCATCCCCCCTTCGTCTTTGTTTCTCTCCCACGCTCACTTTGGCTCCTGTCAATTGGCAGCATTTACTGTTCTCGATATTAAAACCAAACTTGAGTTACAGTCGGTATTCTATATAAGGGATTATGAGGAATATTATACGCGAAAAATATGTATATTCTATTGAAGGAAATTTTAATAAATAATGTATGAAAATTAGCTTTGAGGGTACAAAAACAAAACATAAACAAAGTCCAGAAGAAACAAGATTTTATTAAAATAAATAAATCATTTTAAGAACTTTAAAATTCCCTTTAATATAAATATTACGACAGTATGTATGTTATGTTCTGACTGATTTTTGTGTCAGGCTCCTTTTTTCAATGTCCTTGCCCATCCCTGTCTAAAGGCTTCTTTAATATTCCTAAAAATATACATATTTTCGGTGCATTTAATGGAATACCTACTGTATCTTCCAGAAGCAAAGTGGAACAAATATCAAGAGTAGGTGGAAAAGCTGATGGCAACCGGGTAGCATAAGGCTATAAGGAAAACTTTAGTTTGGCACGCTTCACCAAACTTTGTTCTCTTTTCACTCATATACAAGTTTGCTTACAAAATGCTTTTTTAATACTTAAAGAACCTACGAAAAGCGCGTAGCGATGAAATATCAAAAGGGCTGGGCTTAAATTTAAATGTGAATTGTATCCAGTCAGTCGGGAAAATCGGTCAAACTTAACAAACTCCCAAAAAAAAGGGGAACAACCAATTTCTTTATATTAATTTGTATGCGATTAGTCGTCATCGTTCCCCCCTTTTTCCGTTCTCAAGATATATTGCACCATTAACTTTATGGTGCTTCCCCACTTTGTGTGTTTTCTGTGTGAGTGTGTAATCATTTAATAAATAAAACGTGTTGATTTGACATCTTAATTGGGCCTTTGACACGCGTTTCTTTATTTGGCTGTAATTCCCTGGAACAACTACTTTTGCCAGTCGTAAAAAGTTCATTTCTTGGCTTAAATGTCAACGCTTCTTCTTTGGTGGAATCAAAAGTCGTCAGTTTAGAAATCAATGAACTCTCTGAGGTGGTTTTATTTTCGGTTTTCTTGGCCCAAAGCTATAGCTTCTTGGGAATTGCTCAACTCGGGGGCATTATTAGATTGATGACAGCCATCGAGGGCAACCCGGGGAGAGCATTGGCATTAAAAACACATTAAAAGATTAGCAAGGAATAGAAAAAGTGCGCGTGGCTTAAGGCGAATAATTAAAGGAAAAAGTGTGAAATAAAAAGGAATATCAATTTCAAGGCAACATTTTCTGTATCCTTGAGATTGAGAATATATAATACCTTTAAAACCTTGAATATATCTATATCGTATCAGTTTACCCCAAAATTTACCACCACATTTCCTTTAGTTTTTTTACGCAGAGCACTTGTAATGTCCTTCTGCAGATGCCCTTCTCCTTTGATTCTCTCGGCATTATTCCCCCGTTGATCCTTGAAGTGCCTTCCAATTTGGCTGAGTTTTCCTTGGAAAATCCTGTCTGTGTTAGTGTTTGTGTGTGTGTCTGCAGTGGAATGCTTAAGGAGCAACGCAGGATATTGCTTGAGAAGTGCTTGAAATGTCGTTCTACCTGTCTCCTTTCCTCCATGTTTATAACAATTTCTCTGTGTGCGTTTCCTTTTCGGTTTTTTATGTTTATTTTCTTGCCTTTGGTTTTATTTTCGTTTTTGCAGCTTTGTTTTATTTATGCCTTCGTTCGTTGTTCGTCTGTCTACCTGCTCCGTTCTCTGTGTTGAGTTTTCCCTTTGAGTTTTTCCACATTCATTTCATTTCCTGCCGCCGGCGGCTCCTAAAACTTCTTCTTCTTCTCTTTTTTTCCCCTAATTTTCCCGCCCCTCCCTTAGTTTTGCTCAAAAACTATGTAGTATCTCCTTTGCGACGCTTTACTGTTGGTGTTCTGTGTTTTTTTTGAGCGCGTGAATTATGATTGTGGCTTAGTTTTTCCCACTTTTCCAGCGTTGTTATTATCCCTATTGTTTTTGTTATTTTTCAAGTGCACTCGAAGAAAGTAATTAAGATGTCTTAATTAAGAGGTCATTTTAAATTCGATTTAAATACAAGAAAGGGTACTGAAGGGAAGACCAAGTTTATATATTTTTGAAGTTTGCCATCTAGTTATAGGGAAAAAATTAAATTAAAGGAATATCCATATTTTTAAGACATTTTTTTTTTAAATCCAAGTTTTAATAAAGCATAACTCAGCCAAAAAAGCTTTAATTTTAATTCGGAAACTTGTGAATGTTAGTTTTTATTAGGCTAATAAATCTTTATACTCAATTTAAAATTAAAAAAAAAAATTAAAATTTTTATAAATTTTTTTTGACAATTTTTAACGATATAACCCCTTAAAATTTTTTGAAAAATTTCAAAAATGTTGTTTTGTTCCTGAGGTAGCCAGATCGATTTGACTGTTGATCCTGATCAAGAATATATATGATTTATAGGGTCGGAAAATTATAATACCTTTGAAACAGTATACAAAATACAATGGAAAGCAGGGGTTTATCTTAAAATTACATAGCAAAATAATTTAATAATTAAATTCAACTTTGAATTTAATTAAATTTATCTAATAATTAATGATTTCTCTGTGTACCGACTGGCATATCCTTTTTCACACACACACACAGCCTGTGGAAAATTCACCTTTTCCATCTTTATTTTTTTTTTGCTACCAAAAAATATCTGCAACTGCTGCAACTTTGAAATTAAATAAATTAAACAAATATTTTGTTTGTTTCAAACATTTTTTACGTGCTAAATTCAGCGACGTGTGCGGAAATGTGTGTATCTGTGTGTGTGTTGCCCAAAAAAAAACAACAATAACAACAAGGAGAGATAGGGGCTAGGTAGTAGCAACAGCTGCAGCTGGAGTGGAAATGAGAAACGCTTTTCCAGCAGCAGTAGCAGCAGTGGGAAATTTATATATATTCAGAATTTGCATTTGCAAAATCAAAGTTGGATTGCATGGAAAAGTGGCAAAGGGAACGAGACAGGAAAAAGGAGGAAAAGCTACCGCCAGAGGCAGTTGCAAAAAGGAGATTTCGGATTTGTATTCTTGGGTCTCTTTTTGGATACAATAAATGGTTTAGTTAGCTGGAATTTCAGTGTATGTTGTGGAAATATTGATAAGCAAATGGGAAAGTTGAAAGATAAATAAACAAAGAGGATAAAAAAAAGAAAAGGGGACACCAGGACGAGAACTAAAAGTTGGCCAAAATGTTTCAAGAATTCACAGGAATTATATTGAGGCCAATAACTGTGACAATGTTTTGGGTAAAAAGGAATCCATGTTTTGGGGGAAACCAATAAAATGTTATTGAAATGTAAAATGAAATGAAAATATGGCAAAAGTTTTCTGTCAGAAAATGTGTTTTGTATCTTTAAGGGAAATTAATTTCAAACTAAATGAACAGAATAGTAATGATTCTGAAATTAAAGAGTAAATATGATAATGGCTTTTAGAAGTGATCTTACAGAGTTGTTATAGAATCTTTTATTAGCTCTATGAAAGCAAAAGATACCAGTTTTTAAGGATTATGGCTGGA